CCTCACCTTGCTCGCCTGTCGAGCCGCTTCTCTCAAGACGGTATACCGCTGCGTACACCACCGGTGCTCCAGCTCCCCCCTACACGCACCCTCACTCTCTCCACAGCATCCTTCGCAACTCGCCTCTTCCCCCAAGGACAGCCATCCCCGCCTCGCCCAGGCGGCAGTCCCTTCGACTGCAGGAAAAGGCCGCCAAGCGAGTCGGCTACAACAACCCCCTGACCCAGACCATCATCACCAACAAGTACACCAAATCGCACATTGACCTCCTCGTGGAAGAGGCCTCGCCCGCGTCGCCGTCCTTCTCGCCCATTGGCGGCGACAGGGCGGCAACCATCAACCTCAAGCAAGCGTTCTCGCCCAACGAAATCGAGAACGGGGGCCAGACGCCAGGCCCGTTCGAGGACATGCGGCGCAAGCTCGCGGCCCTGAGCGGCGGCGCAGCAGCAGCATCGCCTCTGTCGTCGTCGTCGTCCCTGTCGCCGTCCGAGGCGGGCGGCATCCGCAAGCGCAAGCGCAAGGAGAAGAAGCGCCAGTGGGTCTGGACAATCGGCGTGGCGGACGAGGAGGAGGAGGATGACGAGCGCGTCGGTGGCGCAATCGCCGCCTCGAGGGCTGAGGCTGCCTCCGCCTCTGCCACCGCCTCCGCAAGGGTCAGGGGCACGGCCAAGGCGCCTCGCGATGACGAAGCCGGGAGGGCGGCGCGCGAGAGCGTCGCCGTCCCGGACATCCAGATGGTGCCCGACACGCCGACGGCGAGCATCGAGAGCAGCAGCGCCGACTCGGCCATTGACGTGGACATGTCGGACGCCAGCAGCGTCGTCTCGGAGGATCTTCAGGCCTTCCTCCCCATTGTCGGACCCGCTGCGAGTCTTGCGCCCGAGCTGGACGTCAAGACGCCGACGGCGCAGAGCAGTAATGGTAGGGCGTATTCCTGCAATGGCTACAATAAGCGGAAGCGGGATACGCCTATCCCTGAGCTAGCTGAGGCGCAGGATACCTTGCGCATGTAAGCGTCAACAGCTGAGTGGCTCTCCCCCCCCTGCACTCTGGAGACGCGAGAGAAAAGAAAGTAAGTA